CAATGTCGCGGGGTCAGTGAGGAAGCTGGCAGGGGATATACCTTTTAGTTGAGCATTAACACTACCGAGAAAACACATTATATGCTATCAACCACTGTGACGATAGAATCTCGGCTCGACATGTATGCATAAAAATCAATTTGGGATTGACAACTTATTCAATGGTGCCCTTTTGCCATGTCAAGGGAATTCGCGGGAGGTTTTAGCACGAGCACTCACTAGCCTTTTCTTTCGAAAAGTATTACCATACACATGTAAAGAATCGGATTCCGACGTACCAACAATATTAAGACCGTATCGACGCGCCTCGTTAGCAAATGGAGAAACGAAGACTCGTGACTCTGAAGCTCTTCTTGCTAATTCCACGAGTCGATCAGCGCAGAACTGAAGTTCGTCCTGAAGATTATGTAGTGAAAATGGGGCGGGGAGCGAATCTGAGGTAGATAAATCAGCAACGTCGACGGGGAATCCTGCAATTTGAACGGGATACGAGTCACAGGGGTCACAAGGAAGTGTAGCGGTTTGATGATAGTTGGATGAATCAATCTGGACTCTGATGTCCGGCCGTCGCACAGCACGTAGCACGGGCTGAAGTATATCGGACCAAGTGGAAGTGGCCATAGTTGCGAGGGATGTGGAAGGCTGATCTGCCGCATTGGAGTAGTTTGGTGATGAATGCTGGTCATCGCATGAGAGAGATGCAGTATGACTTGAATGGCTTAAGGCATCGTTGGTTTGGCTGGTCCACCACGATTGGCCGGAGCGTACCAGTTGAGAGGACAAGCTTGTTACTGGATCGCTGAGCTGTTACGAGGCAGAATTTGATGGTCGGGATAATAATAAATGACTAATCTAGGGTATCAGGGCGAGTAATGAAAGGTATGCTGTGGAACTGTATAAATTAAGGCAAATAGTAAAGATAGGAGAAAAGCCGCCAAGTCATGTCATCTTGGATGATAAAATACCCATATGTATAATATGAGGCCAAGTAGCTTTAAAAATTAAACTAAAATGGATCTCGTCTTGCAAGGCTGGCCCGTTTTATCAGCACTGTAGATAGGTGATGATTCCTTGTGCAGGAACTTACTTAGCCCAACTCGTTTTAGGGACTTTAAAGCGGCTTAAGGACTAGTTGCGGAGTTTTCCCATAGTCATAAATGTAGACCTCACTGCAATTACCCCATAAAAGGTCACCTCAAACAGAGTGGACCACGATTTCGGGTCAGCCCGGGTCGCCACCCGGGTGATGTAGGTCGATCCTACCATGGCCGAATTACCTTGATTTAGGCAAGTGGAGTCTAATGTCGTCCGGTGATATCTATTTCGTAATCTCACCGCAGATACTGAATGAAAATCAGTTTGGTAAATATATATATAGCCGATTTCCTATATGATTATTTCACCTTCATTCTAGAGACAAGAGTAATTTTTCTTAACCTTTAAATCCGAATGA